AATTGCGGAGTTTAGAATTGAATGTAAAAAAGACGGGGAGATTGCAGCTTGCCCTGCTGTGAGTCTCACTCACTCTTCTTCTGTCTCCTCTCATTACTTTGTGTGCCTTAGCCTGTTAAGATAATGGAGCTGGGAGTGTATACACATTTATTTTCATGTGGTTTGACTCAACATTAGCCGTTAGCTTGGAGAAACAGATGCCATTGTCAATGGCATGAGAGCGTGTCCCCCCCGCAAAGGAAATGGTTGGAATCCCTCAGGACAGTCAGAGACTGTTTCGTTCACTGAGTGATACATGTAGTTTATTTGCAGTGAACGAATCACAAGTCGCGTTAGCTCAGGCGTCAACAAGAGTCCCTTCATGCCTGCACGGCGCACGCCACTGAGTCGCTCAGGTTCACGTCACGAGTGAGTCACCGAACACGGAAGTTCCACTCCCGACCGGCACGCTCGCGCTGAGCTCAACTGAACTGAGAATGGAAGTAATCCGGTAATAAAGGTATTCAGTTCAGTTCATTCACTCAAAAAATGTTCATTTGAACGAATCGTTGGTGAATGACACACTAGTTGTGATGCTCACAAGACAAAAGAACAGAGGGATGGACAGTATTTCCAGTTCTCCTCTTCGCTCTATGTTAGGGGACAAAAAGTGACAAGTTAACCAGTTGGGATGTAAACTGTTGACAACCTAAAGAAAAACCTCAGATATTAACCCTGAAATAGAGGCCAAAGAAATGTTTGTTTTTTTTGTCCTAACATCCTGGACTTGTTTTTGTATTGAACGTTTTTTGGATTTATCATGTCCTGGATGACTGAGAATCTTCACCCGCATCCTGGACTATAATTCCAATTTAATAGGTTTACTTTCAATTTTTTGATAAATTTGTGCTGTGGCGTAATGGCATTGGAAAACAAGGTTGATCATGAGACTGCTATTGTTCCTTTTTGGCAGCTTTCACTCACACTATGACGGTTCCTGCTGAGCTTTTACTGCTATTGTTTATAAACTGCTTTTCAATAAAGTCCTAACAGCAGCACAAACTGGTACAAAATCTTTTTTTTTACCACAGAGGGCAGTAACTCCTGTCATGTAGGTGTAAACTTGTTCCAAATCCTTAATAAAAAATAACACAACTTAAACATGGTTTAAGGTTTTGTGAAATCTTCTGCAATCTAAGTTGAAATCCTGCAAGAGTTATAAAACACTTTATTTTTAACGATGCTGCATTATTCAAGGATTCAAGGTTCTTTAAATGTCATACGCAGCACATGTGGTACATGGGGTGGAACGAAATTGTGTACACAGGGTCCCAGTTACATCCAACAAAAGAATAAAATGTAAAAGAAAAACAGATCTGATACGAACTAAGAAAATGTTAACTAGAAACACTAAATTGGGGACAAAATAAGCAAGTCCGCTGGTCGTTATTTCTTTTGTATGAACGTAAGATCAGTGTGATTTATTCTCCTGTAATGTGGTAAAACTTTACGATAAACAGGAAAAACTCCTAAATGTTTGATGCCAAACAGCAGCAACAAAACATAATTTCACATTTTCTACTTCAACCAGTTTGTGGTTTTTGTTAGGTTTAAAAAGTTGTCGTTGTCTGGTGCAAGGACAGAAATTCAACTTCATTATTGGAGGTGAAAGTGAACAGTGAGTTTTGTAAGTGCAGTTGTTGAAAGTGTTTAAGATACAGTCAAATGTTGCTTGACGGCAACTCTACCAACTGCACCACCGTGCCGCCCGCGCTAACACGACAAGAAGAAGAAAAATGTTTTTGAAAAGTACAAGTCAAGGGATGGATACCAAAGGATTTCCAAAGCCCTACCCATCTTCAGGAGTTTTGTTGAATCCAAGGAAGGAATATGAGAGTGGTGGTGCAGTGGTTAGAGAAGTAAGCCTTTTATCGGAAGGTTGCCAATATGAATCCTATGAGCGGTACATCAAAATGTGGGCGGGGCCTCCACCCTCATTTGCCCTTGAACAAGGCCCTTAACACCGCCGCCATCTGCATCCCCGGTGCCCTAAACGACAGCCCTCTGCTCCACACATGTGGGGTGTGGTAGCTCGGAGATCCGTGGTTGCATCAGAAAGAGCATTCGGTGTAAAATGTGTTTTCTCACTGCCCCTGAGGAAGAGAGCCGCTGGAAAAACAACAAAAGGGACGTGTAAATCTGCCAAGATCAGGCCATCGTCAAACTCAGAGTGGCCATGCAAGAATAAAAGTAATGAGACATCACCAAGAGAACCGTGATCCCCCTGGTGTGACAAGCTTCAGCAGATGAGACAGAAAACCGAGTCTTCTCTGCAACCAAACTTCATTCAGATTTGCTGTAGTCACAAAGATGTGGCATGAATCTTGAACTCTTCTCAGTTTAGTTTCTGTTTATTGTAGAGAGCTTAAGCTGCACAGGAGCTTCGCTGTGCATTTCTTCGAAATTTAACAAGATAACCACCTAAAAACAATTTATTGCTTACGCGACTTTATAGTAAAGGTGTGTCTCAGCTGAACTTTTACTTAATAAATGCACTTTAATTAAATTAGCTGCATTTTGCTGGGGCAGTGCAGTGAAATGAATCTGATTTGATGGTTGTTCCATACAAGCTAGACGAAGGTGGCAGACTCTGGCAAGCCAATTGTGTCATAATTAGCCACGTTTATTACATGTTACAGTGGCATGCCATACTGCTCGACTGCCATCTACTGGCTGAAAATGGTAGTTTTCAATATTTTCAGTCAGAAAATGATCATATCTCAGCCAAAAATTGGTTTATACATATGGGAAAATCTATAAATAAGTCACTTCGGCACATAAGTTGCAGGGTATGCAAATTAGGCGAAAAGATGCGATTTATAGGCTAGTAAAAACGTCAATTGATTTTTATTTTTTTATGTTTTTTTTTTTTGCTTTTAAGTCACCAACCAGTCACCAAGAGTTGCAGCCCAGTGAGATACCACCCTAAGGGCTATTCAGAAATGCCAATAAACTAATTGTGCATAATTTTGGAACGTTGGAAAAAACATCAGGAGTTGCTGGAGAAAACTCAGTCAGCAGAGACAAACCGTGTAAAGTCCTCACAGTAAGGCTTCAAGTAAAAAAAGAACCTTCAACCTTCACCGTGAGGCCACAGCGCCATGCTGCCCGAGCTGGAATCCACAAGCTGTAGTTCTCTTCAGCTGCTTCCTTCAGCAGGGGCTGCCACAGCGAGTAGTCACATGAACGATTTTGGTGACTGTTTTACAGCGGCTGCTCTTCCTGACACAACCTGGGCTCGAACCAGCAGCCTCAGGAGTACAAGGCTGCAGCACTTAACCACTTACCACAGGCGTCAGAATCAACACGCTGGTGTTTATATGAATGGGGCAAAAGCAAGACGTCATCCAGCAATGGTGATGGCTGTTTTGTTGTTGTTGTTGTTTGTTAGATTTTTGTTACCCCCAGTTTTGCAACTTTCATGGGTCTTATGAAAAAAGAGAAGTAACGTTAACGTTTAGCATTGCCAAACTCAGTTCTACACATGACAGTAGGACATTTCATCATTAGAACATTTTATAAACAAGTTGTTTTTATTGAGCATTAGATACTGCAGCTGAGGGCTGCTCAAGTCTTTGTTCAGTTTTGACTTTGTTTGAAACCTTTGTAAAAGTAATCCTAAATTTCAAATCATCGTTAGAAGATGAAAAATGGAGATTTAGTTTGGCGTTTACCAGAAGTCTGTATATTTAGTAAATAAGAACTTACACTTCTTGTGACTGTGAGGTATATAATTTAAAGTTTTGGGAGTGTAAACTTCTTAAAGTATGTCTGCAAGCCTGAAGGCTTGGGAAGGGAAAAGAGTGACATAATACCCCCAAGTTTAATAGTCGGTGCTGTGTGCAGAACATTTCACTGTTTTCACCCCAAACACGTCTTATGTGGCTCCTTCCTTCACACTACTTACATTTGATTAATTCACAGCTGCATAATAAATAGAATCAATTCCAGCTGAGGCATTAAATTACCTGCAATTAAGCCATTGATTGAATGTTCTGATGTAGGTAATTGATTTTATTGTCCATTAATTTAAACCCAAGTCTTGGGTGAAGGAATGAGATTCAGTGGTTGCTACCATCCTTAAGGGAGAGCTATTTGTCTTGCATGATCCGATCAAGTGCATCTTTAATGTGGGTGTTCTGATGTCTGTTAAGTCATCTCTCAGTATCTGCACGTCTCATCTCCGACAAGGAGACCCTGTTTAGTTTCGAGGATGAATTAGTGTTCGACAGCGTCACAACCAGTTGTTTTGTCTACATGAACGTTTCCATAGTGTGAATAATACTGAGATGAATCAGCATGGTGCTCAAAGCAGACTCTGCTGATCATAATGCAATGTGGGCTTCTTATTCTTTATGTTTAAACAAAAGGCTTATGTTTGCTTATTCCTGAAGTTTTGAAAACTCTAGACAGCACAGCCTGCCTCCTAGAATGTTTATTTTTATGATTACACTGAGATTTTCTTGTAAGTGCTTGACCAGCAGTGTTAATCCCATTGTTTCCTGGATTATTGAGCATGCATCAGGATGTTAATCCCAATCATTTCCTTTTAGCAAGTTGGGCCGATGTTGTTTAAATAATTTCTGGACTATTGAGCACACCCCAATATAAGCTCTGCCCATTAAATTAAACGTTTCCCCCCTCCCCAACCAGTTTGATGGTGATAAAATGGTTTCTGGAGTCCGCCCTCTCCCCCATAGATTCCTCTGGGGAAGCCATGGCCAAAGTGGTACTGATGAAGTCCTTTGGATGAAAAACAAAATGTTTCAACAAAAATAGAAACCGTCCAGAGGACTTGACTTAACTTTGTTGGATTTTTTTTACCTGGATTATTGAGCATGAACTTTGATGTTTTGGACCACTTTGGCCGTGGCTACGTCAGAGGGGTCGACGGGGGAGAGGGTGGACTCCAGAAATCATCTTATCACCATTAAACTGGTTGGTCCATTATGTGAGTGTGCTGCTGTGATCATGTTATTGATGAAGTTCCTGTGTCCAGGAGCATCAGTGATGGTCACGTAGTAATTAGAGATATAGATAGATGTATACTTTATTGTCCCCAAGAGGAAATTTGTCTTGGACACCGTGCGCTAAACAAAGCTTGTTCCACAAGAAGCTTTGTTTAACGCACAATCTTCTGCTGGTCTCGAACTTCCACAGAGTGATGTCGATGGTGATACATACAGGCTCAGTCTTCAGTTTGTCCAACACCCAGGCGCACCTGAAGGAGCTTTTACCCACCACGGCCACCTCCTCAAATTTCTTGATGATTCTCTTGTCGATGTGTCTGCACTTGTAGATCAGTGGGCCAGTGGAGGTGGACTTCCTGGAGTCGACATGGCCAATGACCACGATGTTCATGTGGGTCTTTTCCTTTCTCATTTTTTTAGTTTCAGTGTTTCATAATTTGTAACAATGAATGGAATACCCAGAGACTAAGGACTGAAGAGAACAGACTCCAAGACTCAATAAAGTTTAACAATGTTTATTTGCAAGTGCTCAATATCATCAAACGTGCACAGGGAGGGGCCGGAACCCTGAGTAGCAAAGAGACAGGTTAATATAGTATTTGGAGGAGTGATAATAATATTGCTTCTCTTTCTTACAAAAAGGTTTGTGGTTCGTCGCGGAGACAGGTGACCCAGTGAGCCCAGTGCAAGGAAGGAAGACGTCCGGTTAGAGTTCCTGGTTGGAGGCAGGCAAAGAGGCAGCTGAGGAGGTACAAGAGAGTGTGAGGTCTTACAGAGGAAACCCAGGGACAAGTAGGCCGCAGAAGTAAATGCTGGAAACACAAAAGAACACAAGGTAAGTTATCTTTTATCAGAATATACAAAAATGGCCAGAAACACAACCACCATTAGGCAGGTAATGCTGCAGCGCTGACTGGAGGTCTTCTTCAGCCTTTTGTACTCCCGCAGCTCGTCGTGGTGATGGTCCACATGTGTGGCTAGTTGGTGCCATCAGGAAGCTGATGGAGCAGAACTCCCACATCATTGTTGGTAGCAATTAGTTGTGATGAAGGTGAACATCAACAGACTACAAATGAATAAACAAATTAAAAAAATAACTTGTTTATGGCTTTTGTGCTCAAGTTTTTGAAAGAATTCGTACTTGCATGAGGAATGAACATTAAGTATGGATCAGAATATATAACTACCTGAAAAAACACTTACTGCATGCTATAATGCAAGCAGCAAGATAAACTGAATTGATAAAGAATTACTCGACTTTTGCGGCCTCGTTGCTGCTGCTCGACTTGCCAGCTCTGATCTGATTCTTGTGCATGTTCTTTGTTACTTGTTTGATTCACAATTAGACGAAAGATACAGTTATATTGTTACAAAAGCAGGCTTTAGTCCTATAACTACAATTCATGAATAATGTTTTCTATTGTCTGAATTTTGGGGGCAAACATAATCGAGATATGCAGCAGATGTTTTGTTTTTAGCAACCTTACACAAGTCAGCGTCTCTCGCTTCTGTAATTTTTATGACTATCCAACACTGTGAATGCAGTTTAGGTCTTTTTATGGAAATCGTGCTACTCAGATATGCATGCAGGCTCGCCTTTTTAACAAACTAGATGACATTCCTTCACAAAAACACTGGAGTTGAATAATTAAAGAGAACTATTTTGTGTTAATGCATTTAATTATCATGTTGTCATGATGACATAAATAATTCATTTTTTCTCTTGCTTTATCTAAAGTATCTACAATTCAAATTGCATTCATTTACTTTTTATACTCCCCACTTTAGGTTCATGGAGAGTTTTTCATGACCAAGGGGGAAAAGCTCTTAAATGACTACGAGTAACAGATGCACTCGGCAGATTCATCCTTAAAGTCGTATTTTCCTAGAAGTTACACTAAAAGCTCCAATATTCATTTGATTGCTTCTTAGAACACCAAAGAAGGAAAAAGCAGGGTGGAGGAGGTTCATTTTGATACTGCTACATAATGTAGTTTCCCTGTTCCCATGCTCACAGAAGAACTCCGAGTGTATAAATGTTTAACGGAGGCCATGAAATAACCATTTTTCCTTACTAATTAGGATGCCACCTCTGTGCCACTTTTCTTGCCTTTTTGTTTCTGTCAGTGTAGATTTCTTCAGTCCGTTCTGGACTTTGATGGGGGACAGTTGTGACGGCCTTGTGTAAAGACCAGAACAGAATTAATGGGTCAAAGAATGATTTATAACCCTTTTTTCTCCTCAGATAATTCACCATCTGCCAAGAATCAAGACCATTCTGAATGAATGAACAAACCCACATCAGGGACACTCTGAATGTGAATTTAAGCAGCCTAATTTAGACAATTATGCCACATTTAATGCTTGAATTGTTATGTTGATGTTTCTAGTTTTTTTCTTTAGTTGTGTTTTCGGCTGCTCCCTTCTTTAGGGGTCGCCACAGCGAGTGAACTTGAAGATCTGGTAGATGTTTTTACGCCTGATGCCCTTCCTGATGCAACCACCGACTGTCGACTAGTCGTTGTGACGTCATAGGAACTCAAGACGCTATTCATAAAAAAACGTCATTTATTATTTGCCAAAAAAAAAGAACAATAAAACATCGGGGGCGTATGTTTAGGCTCCTACCGTTTATCATACTGCACATAAGTAACAGGAAAACCAAAACTATTATTAAACTGCAGTTAATTTTATTTTATTTAATCCACTAAATAAAATAAACCACCGCAGCAGTGGTGGGTTTTCCACCAACGGTGCTGCATTTTCCACCGGTGGTGGTTTGCCCCCTTGTTTTTATTTTTATTTTATTTAGTGGATTAAATAAAATAAAAATAAAACAGCGCGGCGGGCGGCGGTGGAATCCACCATGGGCGGTTGAACCGGAAGAGTCGTCTTCAGTGAAATACTTCCACACTGTAGATGAATTTCTACCTGTTTGGGGAGACTTGGCCTGCTCCTCTCCTTCCATCTGCCTGGAAGAATCCATTTTGTAACCAGTGCACAGCTGATCACGTGACATGTGACACAATCACTAACTGTGACTAGTCGATGTGAACTTTTAAACCTGGTAAGATGTCCCAGTATCGACTAGTCGACTAGTCTACCCAACCCCTACAGACCACGTGCAGACCATGGCACCTGGAGAACAGCTAAGATGGTTAAAGGCCTTGCTAAAGGGACCCTCAGTGGAGCAAATAAGGGTAGAGACAGATGTAGGTGCTTCACCATTCCCACCCAAAGTTTGCTATAACGGTCCAGGGATGTGAACTTCCCCATCACAGGATTTCCTAAAACAAAAACGTAACAGTAAGCTGGATAAATCAGAAAGATCTGCTGCTGCTAGAAGACACTGCACATGATCAAAACAAGAGTGTTTTCATTCTTTACATCAACTGCTCAAAAATAAATTGTTCTAGTGTTTGTATATACTGTAAAAGCTGAATTTTCTCTGCCATTTTAATGTAACTGCACTGGTCTATACTAAATTATATTGGATTGTCAAAATAACAGAACACAAACAAAACCCGCTATGCTTGCCTGAGCTATCACCTACGTGATCTTACAAATACTATGACATAAGGAGGCAAAGAATTAAAGCATGAAGGTCATTTTTGTCAAAATTTTTGGTAATTTTAGCATCACTAGCTAGCTTTAGCACTTTCAATGTGGACACTATCACCAGCAATATCTTAATTTTCCTGCCTGAATAACTATATAATGACAAACTTACTGCAGTGCAAAGATCTCAAGGTTCATCTTAAATTGCTATGATTTTTTTTTTACATTGAAGTTGTTAAAAAAGGCAGCAATTTGCTCAAACTATCCATTACCCTTCAATCCAGTCATAAATAATCTCTGTTTTTCTAAACTGAGCTCATTCAAAAAGCTATCTACAAAGAAACAGTATGCTCCAAAATCAAAGTAAAGTCATGTGGGTTGGATTGACAGTCTTCGTGCATTATCAAGTATTTCTGCATTTGGAAGACCAGCCACTTTTGGCGTGCATCACACTCTATGATGTAAGTAAAAATTCTGAACACAGTTATAAGTTGGTTGGTGTCATTGCAGAGAGGAGACTTGAGTTGTGCAAAAAAATCCCTTTTTATGGTATTAAACACAACATGGTTGTTACCATAACAACAGACATTACATCACTGCATGTTCAAGTCCCAAAAGACTACAGACACACTAACGTGTCTCTCTGTGGCCACGACTAAGGTACATCTTAAAGAGTGGAGACAGGAGAAGAGATGAATGTAACTACATCACTTCCAACCTGTTGAGCATAGTCACTGAAAACATTCAACATTAGACGTTCTTCTGCCTTCATTCACATCACGCCATCTGACACTCTTTTCACCTCTACTACATTCCTTGAAAACTCCTTCTTCAGGACCACTCTTTTTCGATTTGTCTTCATATCTACACCATCATAAAACAATGTAAATCCTTCCCCAGTGCCGCAATCCTTGCTGCCCTTCCACTTGGTCTCTTGCACACATAATAATGTACCTTCCTTCTCTGCATCATGTTGCAGGCTCTCTACCTTTGCCTGTCATTTTCCCTACATTTAGAGTTGCTAACATCAGGCCTACGCTCTTAACTTTCCTCTTCTCCCTCTGTTTCCTGGCACGTTTCCCTTCCCGTGGTCTTCGACTAATATTAGCACAACTTCTCCCCAAACCTGTTCATCAGCAGCACCACTGGTTGTTAACCCGGGCCTCAGCTGATCCAGTATGGGGTCCTCTGGACTTTTTTGCATGTTTGTTTTGGCAAAAGTGTTTATCTGGATGCCCTTCCTGACAAAGCCTCCATTGTTTACCCAGACTTGGGACCAACACAAGAAATACACCAGCTTGTACTCCTTTGTGGCTGGTTTGGTGGTAAGTGATAGTAATACTATACAGTATATTCAAGTCATATGTCAACCTGACATGTAGTCCTGCTCATATTGTTCCTACTAAAGCTACTTTTTTCTGTTAGTTGCTTAGAAATTATAAGATAAACCAAATCTTGCTCTGTTGTGTATTTTAAGTCAAATGCCACAAAAAAAAAAAACTTGAGTAGAAATGTCATGTTGAAGATGAAAGCTGAACAACTGTGAAAGTTCAATGATGCACTTTCTTTGTTGAAAGGTTGCTAATGCCGAACCCAGTGATGGTGCTTGGCACAGTGCTGCAGTGCTGATGCAGTGTCTTTTTTTGTTTGTTTCTTGTTTTCTTCCTGCTTCATCAACTTCCGCTGCACTAAAAGCGGTTTTGGAATGTGAGATTCCTCGTGAAGTTTACATGCTCTTCTAGTGTCTGACAGAGGTTAAAGATGTGCTCACAGGAACAGTAAAACCTGAAAACGGTTTATCTGGTTTGAAATACTCCAAGCTGCACACAGTTCTAGTTTTAAATTCACGTATGC